TGAACCCCTGAACCCCTAAACCCTCAACCCCCTAAACCCTAAACCCCTGAACCCCTGAACCCCTAAACCCTAAACCCGAACCCCTAAACCCTGAACCCCTAAACCCTAAACCCTGAACCCCTCAACCCCTAAAGCTGAAAGAAAGGGGTCCTGCCGACCGCCATCTGCGAGGCTGGGGCCTGCGGCTTCGGGCGGTTTAGGGGTTCTTTCAAGGGTCCCTTAAAGGGTTTAGGGTTTAGGATTTAGGGGTTCTTTAAAGGGTCCCTTAAAGGGTTTAGGGTTTAGGGTTTAGGGGTTCTTTAAAGGGTCCCTTAAAGGGTTTAGGGTTTAGGGTTTAGGGGTTCTTTCAAGGGTCCCTTAAAGGGATCTGTAGTAATCTATAGGGTTTCAGGGTCCTTTTAAGGGGCCCTTTAAAGGGATCTATAGGGTTCCTTAAATGGGTTTAGGGTTTAGGGATTAGGGGAACAGGGTTTAGGGGTCCTTTAAAGGGTCCCTTAAGGGGATCTATAGTAATCTATAGGGTTTCTTATGTAGGGTATTTAGGGCTTAAGGTCCTTTTAAGGGGTCCCTTAAAGGGATCTATAGGGTTCCTTAAATGGGTTGGGGTTTAGGGATTAGGGGAACAGGGTTTTGGGTCCTTTACAGGGTCCCTTAAAGGGGTCTATGGTAATCTATAGGCTTCGGCTTAAATGGGTGTAGGGCTTCTGGGTTTCAGGGTTTAGGGGTTTAGGGGTTGAGGGTTAAGGGTTTAGGGTTTAGGGGTTTAGGGTTTAGGATTGAGGGTTTAAGGGTTTAGGGGTTTAGGGTTTAGGATTTAGGTTCTGGGCTTCGGGGGTTCAGGGTTTACCTTAACCCCAAAAAACCTACCTTTTTGAGGCCTTATACAAAGAGTTCATAAGACATACAAAGAACTCATAAGAAGGAACCCTAAAAAAGGCAGGTTCTCGAAGGTCCAGGTAGGGTTTAGGAATTAGGGTTTGGGCTTTCGGGCTTTAGGGTCTAGGGTTTAGGCTGGGGTAGGGCCCTAAACCCTAAACCCTAAACTAAAACCAAAACCCTAAACCCTAAACCCTAAGGTTTAGGCTTTGGGAGTTTAGGGTTTAGGGCTTAGGTTTCCAGGTTCAACTCCGGGTCGAGCAGCTTCGAGGTCCACTTGGAGGCCCAGGGGACTTAGCAAGTCGGTTAGGGTTTAGGGTTTAGGGTTTAGGGTTTTAGGGTTTTAGGGTTTAGGTTATAAGTAGGGTTATAATTGGGGTAACTCCATTTAGGGTACTTATAACTCTACCTTTAACCTACTTACTAAGTCCCCTGGGCCTGCAAGTAGGTCCAAGTCACAGCTCCGATGGCGAAAACCATCCCACCCACCCCAGGAATCCTCAACCACTAAGACACCAATACTGTACC